ATTAGACCTCATTAGACCTCATTAGACCTCATTAGACCTCATTAGACCTCATTAGACCTCATTAGACCTCATTAGACCTCATTAGACCTCATTAGACCTTATCCCGTTTCTATCTATGTGCCATCACCTTTAAAACTCATTCAATTCATATGTGTACCAAACGGTACTGTCCAAAAATATTTTTTATCTCGCGTTTGATTGTTTGGAGGCACGTGTTTTATAAGAGACAAGCACTCAGCGTGCGTTTTTTCTTTCTTTTCTTCAAAGATATGACCGATTTATTTGTATATGAAGACTGATTACTTGAAGAAGTGTTTCTTACCATACAGGCGAGGCCAGTTTTCTTGCATGTGTAATTGCTGTTGTCAATACTAAAATCTAGAGTGAGTTGGCTTGGTGAATTAGATCGGGCTTTGTTCCCACCAAAACCGACCCTTGTGACCTGGACATTCTCCCCTGTAAATGAACATTAACGTCAAAGAAAGGAAAAACTTTCGAATAAAAGAATTAATAAATGGGTTTCAAGATAGATGCATAATAGAGGCTTTGCACCATCACGTGGTGGCACCTATGACAGGAGACAAGAACAATTTAAGCTGGTCTCATCTGATCTACATGAGAAAGAATTCAGTGATGGTGCAAAGCCTCTATTGCATGATAACGTGAGGGTGGAAAGCATGAGTGTTGCGGCGTGGGAAGAAGATGCGACGTCCTCTAAGAACAAAACGCACGAAACAAGAAAGAAAGTTGGCGATAAAAATTAAGAGTTAAAAGGGAATTACTGACCAAAAAATGGCAGTTTTAAGCAAACAATTTGATGAAACCACTCACCAAGATCCACAGTCAAATGTTGTGGTTGGTTTAATATTGTAGGATCCCAGGCAGTATTTGCTAGAAGAGGAATTCCAGGATTTCCTGACGTAGCTTTGAATGAGGACGAAGTGATTTCAAGCAAGTAGTTATCCAACAATGGACCACAACCAACTATTAAAGGGAAAAACAAACATATTCATTTGGTAAAAATAAAAGTAAATAGTATCCAACTATAAAGTTTTCTTCGCGTAAAGAATATTTCAAAATCATCAAGCCATCATCATCATCCATCATGAACCTGCAGCAATCTTAATTTACAAGAAATGCAAATTAAGAATATTAGAATATCGGCCCAATTTTTAGGGCATGCGCAAACGACGGGGGACAGATTGCCCTTTGTTTCGAAAGTAATAAAGGCTCGATAACCGGCTTTTATCGGCTCAATTATTAAGTAAAATAGCATGGTGAGATCTACCGGGTTTTACTTTTTTAAAAGGGTGCAAATGAGTCAAATAAGCAGCGTTGGTGGATTTAATTCTTGATACAAATGAAGACATTACTTTTTTAATAGAAGTTACTCTTATAAAGCTACGATGTTCTCATCGATCAAGCATCATTGTTTCTTCAGTAAGTTTTGCGCATCCGTTGTAAAGCAGGTTAGTTATGTTAAAGTAAAAGGTACCTTAAAGCTACCTCAATTCGTGGTCGTGAAAAAAATCTCGCTATGGTAAGATGAATCTTTAAGTGAAAAATCACCGGGAGCCCAATTTAGATAAAAGTGAATAGTGGAAATAAAATTGGAAAAAAGTAGTTGTTAATCATCATTCTTAATTCGAGGTCAAGATAATTTTCTAGAACTTTTTTTTTCGCGCGCGCCTTTGTTTTCCTATGTAATTCCCCTATGTTCTAAACTGCTTATATCATTCATGTGACACTACATATTTAGAGAAGGTAAAGGGCTGTGCACGCTCAATTAATATCAATTCCCACTAGAATCAAATACTGTTGATGCACATATTATATAATTTGCACTACTACTTTTTCTCAAACAAGAAATTGAAATTTAGTTTGATATTGTATTGGTAATTAAATATAGTATAGTTTATGTCGAAAATGAACCCCGGAAAGGGATCAGATATAAAAGGATTTAATTGTATGAAGTATTGTATACGGTAGCGTACGATATAATTTGGAAATTTACCATAGGGTTGAAATATTCCGGCGTTACGACTGTAAGGCGTCAGTTACACTGACTAATATTCAACACACACAAAACTTCAAAATCAGCCAAGCTCTTAAATTAATTATTAAAAGGAACAACATTATGAAATTGATTTGGAGTATCTTAATGCCTTATACCATAAACAATTCGAGCAAATGAACATCCGTTCGGTTTCTTTGCTTCGCTCGTTGGCAATTATGTAAAATGATAATATATTGTCATTGACTATATAGTAGAACGCACAAAAGCTTATTATTTCTAAAAAAAATATTTGAAGTCGCCAGTAATACGTAATCGCTTGACAAAGATTAACAAATTATCAAATCTTTTTGGGGGTTTTAAAGAGGACATGAAGCTTGTTCTTCCGGCAAATTTCTTAATGAAGCTAAATTCAAAAACGCTCTTAGGGCATAAATTGAAAAGCAGTCCCGTTTGTTTTTCGATTCTCAAAGCATCATTCACGCTAATTTGACTTTAAATGCAAGAAAAAAATGGCCGGGAGGTGACAATTAAAGAGAAAACTTCCAACCCCGACAAAGCTTTAAATTCGATGTATTCAGTGTCAAAATGACAACTGATTTTTTTCTCTTAGGTCGGTCAAAACGCCTTAGTAAATAAAGAAAGGACTAAACCATCTTTCCGAATAATAAGTAAAATTATGGTATGATTCATGAATAGCAAGTGGTGGGAAAAAATTAATGACTCAGTTATTTTCAAAATAAGGTAGAATACAATTCCAGGAATAAGAAGTTGCAGATGGGCTGATTCGTGCATGCGTAACTAGTAGTAACAGCGCCCATATTGAAGAGGCCTTCTGCTTAGTTTATCAAGTATATTGAATTTAGGCTCGCTGATCTTTTTTCGCACTTATGTCTTGAATGACTAACTGCATGGAACGACAAGAAAAATCTTGGCTGAAATGCACGGAAACGAAACAGAAGAAAATTTCCTTGAATATCACTGGACATACTCCATATACGATGCATTTACCCTTATAATAGGAGTTCTTATTTGTGTTCTCAATGCCGGGGAGATTTTTATAATTTTCTACAAGCCATCGTTAAGAACTGTTTCCAACTATCTTCTTGCCAGCCTTGCCTTTGCGGACTTATTTACTGGATTGGTAGGGATTCCTGTTATCTATGTATGCACATTTCTTCTCTATGGGCCCGTATGTATACTGTCATCGATTTTCTTTCGTTTCATTTCTATTTCCACCAGTTTACACATTCTTGCTGTAACAGGAGACAAATATATTGCTATTGTGCATACTATGCGCTACGAACACTATTTTTACCGCCTTTACGGGAAATGGACTCCCGTAGTCCTCTGGTTTGTACCTCTTGTTTCATCAGTTGTACAACTTTCTTGGTTAAAGCTACACGCATCGCCACTAGACGAAGACGATTCCTTTACTGTACGTATTAACCTTATCTAACATGTTATCTGCATCATAGTATTCTATGCTGGGCCTTTTTTAGGGATGCTATATGCGTATTTAAGAATATTTAAAGAAGTTAAAAGACAATGCCAACTTATAATAAGACTAAATCCGACGTCAAGATACAACAAGAGTATCTTAAAAAGAAATGTAAAGGAAAGACGAGCGATAATTGTGTTCGTTGTTAGATTAATTTTGTACGCTCTTTTCTGGTTACCTTATTACGCGGTAATATTGCAACATCATATCGGAAACGAACTTTTTAATTTACCCGAATGGCTAGAGCATATATTGTACAACTGTCGATTCATTACCTCCTTACTCGACCCAATATTCTTTACCCTCGGTAAACATGAACTACAAAAAACCGTGAGACAACAGCTTCATGGATTTTTTAAAGCCAAAACTGCCGGCATGTGTGTGAGGTCAAGGCCAAAATCATTAGTTATATCTTCACGAAAAGAAAGTTGTTTTTACGAGTCCGTGGTGTAGCGTTGGAGGTCTTGGAGGCAACTTTATTGTCGTTTTTATTGAATTCCACAAAACTAAGTTTGACTTAAGTTTATAATAGTTTAAGTTGCTGTAGTACTATCTCAGTTACATATAAATATATACGTATGTGTGTGTGTGTGTGTATTTGATGCCGAAATCATCAGGTTTCAAGTTTTGGACTTTTGTGAATATACTGAATGATATCCCATTTCATATTAACGTACTCACCTTCTTGTTTTCTTACATGTAGAATTATAGCTTTCTGTATCTAATTAACACAATCGGAGGATCTAAACCTCTTTCCAATAATTTTTAATTCGTTCACTACAAAATGGCATAGAAATTTCCAAGCCATTTTTTGGTGTTAATCAGTTTAAGGCCCAGAAATTTCTGTGCCAAGGCTTAATCGATTTTTGGCGTAGAAATTTATGTGCAAGGTCTCGATCGATTTGTGTGCTAGCATTAACTGTAGTTTACTCTGACAATATGATTGGGGGGGGATAAACCTTTAAAAAAAATATTATTCTGTCTTATGAAAATAAATAATAAAATAATAAAATGGCAAGTCCTTTATGAATTAAATATTTTAAAAAACTTGTTTTTAGTCGTTTTTTTCTCCAATTCTAAGCCTTAGTTTACGAAAGAGCCATATTTGCACATTTCATGAATCAATTCAAAAAACCGACAAAAATGTAAAACTTTGAAATATCCTGGGTAGTTCTGTAACGTGTTAATTGTGATATTGGCTATTAACTGACTATTTTCTTACCATCAAATGAGTCAACTTTTTCACAGTAGGTACCAGAGAATCCTTGTTTACAGATGCAAGTGTTTTGAAAGCACGTTCCACCGTTGTTACATGGGTTCGTTTCACAAGGGACTGAAACCATATAGTGTGTAAAAGTATGAGTTTTTGGAAATGCATATTTTTTATTCATATACACGTTAAAGCGACTTTGTATAATTTTGTCTTTATTTCTTTCTTCCTTGTAATTTTTCATCTTTCTTTTTATTTTGTTCTTTTACTATTTGCTCCTACACTTTCGTTAACTTACGATACACATTTACGTCGTTTTGATGATATTTTAAAGTGWTATTTTCACTCCCCTTACCTGAAAGTATGACGTCCACGATCTCCTCACCAACACGCGCAGGATCCGCCTGAAGGGAATTTGGTATAACCTTTTCTTCTGCTGGATTCGCCGCATCAGCTGCGCTTTGTGGATCTGGAATCATTGGTACAGATATGATACGAATGCCACTACTGGTTATATTTTTTGCTGTGGCTTTAATATCTGCCGCATTTTCCGTTGAGTTTTTATCCCACATAAGAACAATGACTTTATCGGTTTTTCCAGTAAAGACAGCATCTTTGAATAGTTGTTCAGAGTGAGTGAGAGCATTGATCAATGAAGGATCACCAGCCCCTGGGGATATGCTATCCAGCTGTCCTGCTAAAGCATCCTGATTGACGTTGTCTGGGTTGAACTTGAAAGCTGTACTTGCAGTTGCCCCAAACACTACTACGCTATACTTGAACTTTTTGGGATCGTATCTTCTCACTATTGCTTTAATATTTTCCTTCATTGTTTGGAGTGTTTGCGCAGCTTGAGGACTAGCTGCGCTGACTGCAAATGTCACGTACTTTTCAGGGATTCCATCTGTTGAGAAATGAAAGATATTCAGAATATAAGCAAGCATTTAGAAATTGAAAAGTCGTGGATATCTTTTATAAATTGAATTGATTCCTTTGAAGAGAGGCGGCGGGACAACCCCGCCTATTCAGTTTTCCATTTTGTATTCTGTTTCTATGTTGCCGAGCCCATGACGGGATATTAGAGAAGACTTTCGCGATGCAATGCCTATCTCCGTAGCTTATATTGCCGATAACGCGCTCCCAAAACGTGTGCTTTTGCCCAACTACAGTACGTATTCCTTCCGAGCATCCAATACCATACAATATGAATTTGAATTCGACATTCAATTTTTTTTAAACCAGTATATTGTCAATACTGACCATTCAAAATGACCTTGAGTATTTCATCAGCCACTTGTTTGCCTCCATCATTACTGACTGGTCGTATGACGGCTCTCTCAGTGCGAGTGAGATTTGTCAGTTCACTTTGCTCGGGATCGTTGCCCAAACCAACAGTAACGATACGAACACCTTTATCATCAAGAGGTTTAACGGCATTTCTAATGTCACTTTCACCAAGATTGAATTTTCGATGAGTTATGACTGTTAAAACCTTCTTTGCATCAGGTCGAACGGGAGAATAATCGAAGATTTCCTGTGCCTTTTTAATAGCAGCTGGTAAATCAGGGTTGGAATTGAGCTTCGTCACCTTTGCAAGTTCTTTAGCCAGCGATTCTTTGTCTGGGATGGTGGTATTGAAATCAAAGACTACTACGGGTGGAGTTCCAAAAGTGACCAGACTTACGCGAACTTTTCGTGTGCCGTACTTGTCACCGATAGCCTGTACTGTTTGTTGCATGATATTGAATATCTCATTTGTTGTGGTAGAATCTGCTGTAGTTGTGAATACTAAATCGATGGTAGGAACTGCAAAATAGAAATAAACAAAGACTAATTTAATACTAAAACAATGAATATGTAGTGAGCTATTAAATTAAGTAAAGGACTAGGAATGCAAGATTTTGCTCCAATGCAATGAAATGAATTGAACCAGCAATAAAAACTTTTCCCTAGTTCGTTTTTTTATTCCCATAAAAACTTATAATGGCTTTAGCCAATTAAATTTCCTTACGTGGTACTTTTCGGATGATCTCTTCAGCAGCTTCTGCAGGAGCAGAGCCAACAGGTACTTGCGTCACGTGATCTCTAAACACCGTTGCATTGTACAGTTTTTCTGGATCCACGTTTGGACCAACAGCGGCAGGAATGATAGTAACGCGTTGGTCTTGCAAACTCCTTTTGACTGTTTCTAGCTCTGCTTTACTAGATGTTGTATCCTTGTCCATGAGAATAACCAATACTCTTCTCACATTTTCTCGAACCGGACCATTTTCAAACAGTTCTTTAGCTTTGTCCATGGCTAACTTTAAGTTAGGATTTGTGCTCTCGTCAACTTTTTGAAGTGCCTTGACGGCATTAACGATCGATGTCTGATCAGGAAGAATGCTGCCAAAATCAAACTTGTCTACGGCTGTGTCGCCGAAAAGGATGACACCATAGCGAATGCGATCGATTCCAAATCTTTTGATAACGGATGTGGAGATGTCTTTCATGAGACTTTGAGTGTTTGTATTGACTGCAGAAAGACTGATGGCAAACAGCAGATCAAGTTCAGGGTAACCATCTAAAATGGAAAGAATATATATTGGATATAATCTTTGGTTTTTGGCAAATTATTAAATTGATTCACTGCATCCATTAAATACATCACTTCTTTTCTTATATATGATCTTTATGATATGTGTTTCCCTGGTCTACCAAAACCCTATCAAAAAGGATTCCATGTCAGTCTAGGCCTCACCTTCAAGTATTCTTGCCACAATTTTGTCTCCTAATGCACCCTCCGGCTCATTATTACCAACACTGATAGCGTCTTCATTTCTGGTTGTTAGGGCGCGTAGCTCTTCCTTTGGCACCCCTGATCCAATACCTGAAGCAATCACTATTATTCCATCGGAGAAAAGAGGTTTTGCCATATTTTGTAAATCGCTCACGCTTGAGCCAGTACTCTTGTCTTGAATGACGACAATTGCTTTCCTTGCRTTWGGACGAGCTTTGCYTCCATTAAGAACATTCGCTGCTTCTGTCAAGGCGTCAGAAAGTTTAGATACTCCAGAGATTTTAGAAATGCTATTGATCTTTTCAATCAGAGCAGCTCGGTAAGGAATGTTCTCGGTAAAGTCAAATGCTTTTGTGAGTGTATTTCCATAAACAACCACAGCGTATTGGAAYCKGGAAACTCCAAACTTTTCTCCAATCATTTTTGTAGCATTTTGCATCAAGCCAAAGGTGGTGTCAGAGCTGGCGGAGTCAGCATTTAGTACAAAAACGACATCAACTTCGGGAACTGAAAATCATTAATTATTGTTGATATTGGTTAGTGGACATATGTGCTTAAGAAGAAAGATGTAATAAAAAGTTCCAGTCTAGCCTTTTCAAACCTAACTAGATTCAGAATTCACTTACTTCGTACAATCCTGTCCATCACTTCTTCCCCATTGTACACATAGGATTTGTCAGGCGACATAAGAACAACTTGATCCTTATATGCTGTAATATAGTTCATTTCTAATACGTCCACCTCGCTGCCTATTCCTACAGGTATCACACGTACTCCTGCGTTCTGAAGAGATGAGAATGAACCACGTAAAACAGCTTCAATRATACCTGATCGCTTATCTGTGATGAGTACTAYAAACTTCAGAGCAAAAGAACGCACGTTRGGCGAATCGTAATTTGTCTTGGCCAATTGAAGAGCTTTGTCAAGTGACGAACCCCCAAGGTTGTCCAYTTTTATTTTCTTTAGTGCTATAGCGACGATTTCTTTGTTTGGRAAAACGATTCCAAATTTGTAGACAGTTGATGGTGTACTTCCATTGACAAYGATGACRCTGTAGCGRATTTTACCTACGCTGTATCGAGCAGTTATAGATAGCATTACATTCTGCATGTAAGTGAAGACAGCATTAGCACTGGTAGATGCTACATTGAGGATGTAYGTCARGTCAACTTCTGGCATGTAAACTGCGGGGRAAAGGAGAGTAGTTTTAAAAATCACGAGAAAAAATAATATTCATTTTCAGATGATTTTTTTTTTCATTGTTTTGACATTGCTGCACTAAAAATGAACTAGTGGTTTCAATTTAATGCACTCTGGTCTGAAACTGGAGCAATCCGCGATGCATTAAAAGTATTGCATAAATAAATATACTAAAAATGAAATGCCTAACAAATATAGAAATGATAAGATAGGTTTCTTACTTTTATAAACATTATTCATGATTGTTTCTTGCAGGGCAGGATTTGTGATGCTGTYTTYAACGTGGATTACGTCATATTCACTGGTAGTAATCGTCATCAATTGCTTCCTCGTGACTTCTTTTCCAATTCCAACAGGGATGATTCTTGCTCCTGTCATTTCTATTGAATCAGCAAGTGTTCGTAAAGAAGCCATATTCTCAGTCGAATCATCATCAATCATAATAACAATGGTCTTATCAGCAGTTGGTCGAACCTTTGGATCATTAAAAGAGTCTTTACTCTTACTGAGTGCATTGTTCAAGGAAGGAGCGCCAGTGTCTGGTCTAGGACTAATAGTTTCGATGTAATTACTGAATGATGATGTTGTGGAATACGTAAGGAAGTTTGTATAGGATTTCTCGATGACTCCACTTGATGACCCGTAGTTTACGACGCTGTAATGGACAGTCTTGATTCCATACTTGTTGATGATGTCTTTCATGGTATTTTTCATCAAGACAAAAGTGTTTGCTTTTTTAGCAGAATTTGCGCCTACTGCAAACGTCAGGTCGATTTCTGGAATTTAAAGCAATTTAAAAGACATCATAAACATATTCTGAAGAGAAAGTTGAGTTTTGTTTTATATATTATGTTTTTGTTAGAGTATTTAATTAGAGTTTCCCATAATAATCTAAAAAGTCTGGGGATAATCTATCTAGATAGCTGACTAATAATATTATACATACCTTTCAGAGCTCTAGACATGATGCCAACGCCCAAATGTCGAGGGTTTTCATTGGATGGCGCCATCATTACGTAATACTTATTCAAAGTCATCCATTCCAGGTTCTGAGCAGGAATTTGTTTTCCAACCCCCAGTGTCACTATGAGTACATTTCCTAATCGCATTTCTGCTGCTGCAGATTTGACCGCGTTTTCCACCTGGGATGGACTCATGTCCATCATGACCACTAGTACTCGAATGGCACCTGGGCGACTTTTACTGTCAAAAATGGCCTTTATTTTCGTAAATGCATCTGTTATTGATGGAGTACCCGTTTGACGAGGTGCACTATCGATAGCTGTAATTACGGCAGCTTTATTTGCAAATGTCGTGCTAAAGTCGAACACGTTTACAAAGTTGGCAGAAGAACCAAACACCACTGTAGAATACTTGATATCAGTTATTCCGTAGAGATTGACAATGTTCTTGGCAGTATTTTTCATTGTTGTGAATACTTGCACTGCATCAGGGGACGTGGCGCTCATTGCAAACATGATGTCCATAATTGGAGTGACTAATAATTAAATTGAATAGGTTAATCGTTATTTAGTGTCTTTACCAAAAAAGCAAAATTTTCTTTCTTTCGAATTCATATCAAATATACAGTATACATTCAGCGTTACCTTTGATACATCCATGAAGCTCCACACGAAGAGATGCTGTTTCAGCTCCTTGTACCGATGGATCTGGTTCAATTGGGTTGAACCTGAAATAACGAGCTTCTACTATTTTCCCAAGGTCAACAGTGCTGACATGAGAACCTGGAACTGAGGGTGGTACTGTAGATGCATACCTCTGCATAAGAAAAAAAGAAAACAAGTATGCATGAGATAGATAGTAGCGTTCTGTAGGTTGATTTTAAATTCCATCCGCGCATATCCTCTAAAATGACGCATTTCCTGAGTGTACCACGCTAACCCTCGGTAGATAATTCCTAATAATATTTATTTATACCGCACAAATTAAGGAAGCATTTTTAAATGCGCCTGCTAACACATACAAAATCAATAACAGTCCTTCACTGAGTTGTGAGTGAGTTTTTTGAATATTCAAGCATAGTTTCATCATCAGCACTTGGAGGATGGGAGATAACACCTTTTTAATAATGCTTAGGATACCAAACGAGAATCCTAGGTTGAAGATGCTCCCAGAGGGCTTCAACTATCGTAATCGTCGTATTTGGTTCAGTGTTCTAAATTATTATCAACTCCTTGCTTACCTTGCACATGTTTATCTTCAATATGCAGGTGAATGTAACACCATCGTTACTGAAATAAATCTCCATCTGACTAGGTGATTTGGCTTTCGTTGGGTCACCACCAAAACTAAATCTGGAGACACGTACTAAACGACCTGTTTATAGAGTGAAAAAACAAACATGAAATTATAGATCCAAAAGGGAGTCACATGGTATAGCCTTGATTTTAAACTCAAAGTAAGTTACCTGCATCGATAGTTAGATTTTGTGAGAGATCCGCTGTACTTGGAATCCAAGGTTGGCTAGATATTAAGGGGGTTCCAGGCGTCCCGGATGATGCACTGAATGCTGCACTTGTAATGTCCAACAAGTAGTTGTCAAGCAGTGGGCCACAACCGACTGAAGATATCAAACAAGATGGATGAGTCAGCCAAAATATTCACGATTCTTCTTTTGCCCAAATGACGAGTAATGGCAATATCATCATTTATAACATGAATATTTTATGTTTTTTACCGCGGAATTCTAAAAAGAATCTAATATGTATCAGTATACGTAAAGTTAGAAAGGAATAAACAAACAGACAACATACCTTCATTATTTAAGTCTTGTACTTCTTCGTTTGAAATGACTGTAAGCAAGAAAACACATAATGTAAAACAAAATCATAAAAAATGTAACAAGAACGTGGAGAAGTATGCAAAAAAATCTGCTTGCTCGACAACTAGAAGATTTAACTTCATTTTGATGAGAAAATATTTTATTTGTCCGGTATATCTGCCAATGGCCTAGACAATGATACATCCCCAGATAACTGATCTACTGCATGGCAAAAACTATTGAGAATTTGCTTTATCATTGAAGCTATTCTGAAAAGGTCTAAAGCTAAAGAGCGCATCAATAATCAGCTATWTTTGTGACATCTTACCAACTTCTGACATAACTTCTTCAGCAGCTGCAACAGGGCTATTACTTGGCGTCACACTAACCGTGGATTCTTCTTCCCCACTTAATATTTTACTATCTTGAGCAGCTTCAGGTGTTAAGGGAGCCGTGTTGATCTTGATTCCTGCTTGTTTTAACGATTCTACCGCCGTTTCCAATGCAGCTGGAGTATCAGAAGCTTTTTTGTCAGTGACAATAATGATTTCTTTATTGGAATCTTCTGGTATGTCTGGAGCTGATTTGTTATACAGATTTTTGACTTCATCAAGAAGATTAGCTATTGAAGGATCTCCTGATGGGATGGTAATGTTATCTATAGCAGCAAGAATAGCCTCTTCATTGGGAAACTTAGACGCATCAAGTGTGATTGGTGAAGAAGCAGTAGGACCAAATGGAATAATATTGATTTTGACAACGTCATCAGGACCAAATCGGCGAATTGCAGCCTTCAGGACATCTTTGATGAATTCTTCATTTTGAGGAGTAGTTGCAGATACACCAAATGTCAAAACTGTGTCCTCGGCATCATCTATCAATTGCAAGAATAAAATAAAATAGGTAAAAACTTCTATCTATTAATTGTTTTATTGCTTCATCTTCTTAGTTGCATTGCTACTTTGTTCATGTTTCTACCGTCTAATATTAATCATTGAAATCTATATTTGGATGAAAAGGTTTACAAGTTTGATTCATCGTTAATAGCTGTTATTTTTTTATCATTCCATCCATTAAGTTCGTTAAGCTGTTAATTTTCTATCATTCCATCCCTTAAGTTCGTTCGTTTGCATAATTGTTTGTTGTTTGATTGTCAGTACTTGGATGGATGAATTGATTGAAACCGTAAATAAAGATTTCATTTTTTATTCCTATGAGCAATTTAGTTAAATCTAATATTTCGATTACCATCCAAAATAATTTTCATCACTTCATCTCCTGCTTGTGCTGGTGTTGTTTTGTCATCGTCTAGCAGTACAACTGCTCTTTCAGAACGCGTTATTGTTGTGAGCTCCCATTTACTTTGTTTCGGTCCAAATCCAACGGCTATATTCATGACCCCTAGCTTATCCAATGGTTTCATGGCATTTGTGATATCGCTTAACGAATCATTAAATGGTCGATCGGTCAAAATTAAATTGATCTTCCGGGCATTTGGCCGAGGAGAAGATTCATTGAACAATTTTTCCACTTCCACAAGAGCTGGTTTGAGGCTGGGATTTCCAGAAACTGGAGAGATTTTGTCAACTTCTTTTTGAACTGATTCTTTGTCTGGCAATGCAACACCAAAATCAAACACCCTAGTTGGTGTTGGTCCTACGTTGACCAGACTGAATCGGAATTTGACTGGACCATAGGTGTCTGATATGTATTTGATTGCATTTTTCATGACATCTTTAACTTTTGGAGAAGTTGTATCAACATAGGTGGCCATGATGGTCATGTCGATTTCTGGCACTGTAAAACAGCAAAAGCAACATTATATTTTAAAAAAACACACAGATAATTGATAAAAGGCTGAAATATATGATATGCGCAATGGAAACTGAATTTCTCGCATAGTGCATGTCACATTTTCATTTCGAATTTAATCCGGCATGCTTATAAATTACGTTGAAGAAAAAAGTCAACAAAATTAAATTCTTTTCATTTGTTTTACCTCTGGTGACTTTCTCGACTATCCTTCTTGCCACATCGAAGCTGTTCACAGGTAGYGAGGGTAGAAAGATCACATTCTTTCTGAAGATGGTGTATTGCCTCAATTGATCCAAATTTGGTCTACTCCCCATCCCAACATTAATGATAGTAACACCAATAYCTTGAAGGCTCCTTCTGGCTGTATCCAACTCTGATGGGGAGTTAGCTGAAGCTTTGTCATTCATGATTACGAAGACCTTTCTGGCTTCCTCTCTGGTTGGTCTTGATGTAAAAATAACCCTTGCCTGTTCAAACACGACTTTATCATCTGTTTGCTTTGCCTGGTCAAATCGTACCAGACCATTAATCGCGGTAAGGATAGCCTCTTTGTTTGGTAAAATGCTTCCAAAGTCAAACGTAACTGACTGAGCACTACCATATCTGATGATACTATAGCGAAAACGATAAATGCCGTAGCGCAAGACCATCTGACGCAAAGTGTTTCTCATCAAAAGAGTGGTAGCATCAGCAGGTTCAGACAAAGAAACGGCAAAGACGATGTCGGCCTTTTCAACGCCATCTAAAAAAGAAACAGCAGTTTTAAAGCTGGACCAAGTGACACCTGTTTATGAGCATTTTTACTGTCTGCTTATGTATAGCTTACCGTTAACGACTCTTGAAGCAAAATTATTAGATAACATAAATGGAAAGTAGCTAGTAGACACTTGAACGACATAGCTCTTGTAGATGGTTAGTGCTCGCAGCTCTTGGTAAGTAACTTCACCAGCAACACCAGCTGCTAATATAAGTACACCATTTTCATGAAGAGGTTTGGCAGCATTTTGTAAATCAACGGCACTTTGGCCTGAGGATTT